TCAAATTAAATAAGAAAGACCAAGAGCAAGAGTAGAAGTATTTGGGCAAGACCAAGATTAATGTCAAGACAGGGATAGTCTTGATTTTGGTAGATCTCTCGCTGAATTTTCGACAGTGCGAAAAAACGTATTCTGATGTGAATTTTCTCAAAACTTTTAATCTTACCCAATGCTCTTTTTGATAATTCAGTTCTATATATAGTTATATATAAGTAAATACAAGANATTGTAAGGAGTTTGATCGATAGCTTTTTACCAGTCCCTTGCTTACAGTGTGGTAAAAGCTGTTTAATCATTCAATAATTTATTGAAGGCTTCGCCTTTTGAAACTGACCCTACTAATGACCATTATAAGTACTATGGTCGATCACTTATTGTCCGTCGCTTGTTTGTTGTGCAGTAAAGGCAGTTTTCTCTTTCAATGATTTATCGAAGACTTCGCCTTCTGAAATTGACCCTATAATGACCATTGTAAGAACTTTGATCGATCGCTTATTGCCAGAGACTTGCTTACTGTGTGGTTAAAGCGGTTTTCTATTACAATGAACTATCGAAGGCTTCGCCTTCTGAAACTGACCCTACTAATGACCATTGTAAGTACTATGGTCGATCACTTATTGCCCGTCGCTTGTTTTTTCGTGCAGTAAAGACAGTTTTCTGTTCCAATGATTTATCGCAGACTTCGCCTTCTGAAATTGACCCTACGATGATCATTGTAAGAACTTTCATCGATCGTTTATTGCTAGTCCCTTGCTTACAGTGTCGTTAAAGCGGTTTTCGCTTCGCCTTTTGAAACTGACCCTACTAATGACCATTGTAAGTACCATGGTCGACCACTTATTGTCCGTCGCTTGTTTTTTCGTGCAGTAAAGACAGTTTTCTGTTCCAATGATTTATCGCAGACTTCGCCTTCTGAAATTGACCCTACGATGATCATTGTAAGACCTTTGATCGATCGCTTACTGCCAGAGACTTGCTTACAGTGTGGTTAAAGCGGTTTTCTATTACAATAAACTATCAAAGGCTTCGTCTTCTGAAACTGACCCTGCTTTTGTCTGTATTAGATAATTTGTTCGATTTCCTTTTGCTCTGCTCCCGTATATACAGTAGTAAATCGTAGTTACCCACTACAGAACCTCTCTCGCTCTCTCTCTCTCTAAGGTTAAGCGCCTGGCTATCTGCGATTCATTCGTTCGTTCTTGTGAAGAATGTGGAAGGAACCAACCGTTAAAAAATGGCGCTGCGCCCATTATCTTTTTTTTTTTCTAAGCTCAAGCGAGAGTTCGAGTCGCGAGAACAAACAACGAATCATAAAAAGTGGGAATGCGATTAGCTCTATAAAAATAATTCGAATGACGTTACCGCCCACAACCGGTCGGTCCCACCGCGCTAGAAAAATCCGATTGCCAAATTCTACTGGTTTACGATCCCATACCCGGGCCCCGTTCTCTACTACCGGCTCCCCACCACCAACACACTTAAGTAACATAAAAATTAAGATGAGGAACCGAACAAAAAAATGTCTAAAACTGTATCTTCGTTCTAATTTCACCACCGTAAAGGGAGATATAATACACCTGTTAAATGACCTATTATTTCTATGGAAGCTGCAAGAAAACTATTTATACAAGAATAATCTAAGAACAATGAAATCCTATTCTGTAATTTTTCTATTATTAAATTATCGTTTTGTTACTATTGTACTTTGTACAGCTTTCCCAATTTTTCTTAGAAATACATAGGATCTCTTTAGTGATTAGGAAAATTGATACTGGTCTTGGAGTTTAAGGTCTTGGCCACGCATTTTCGCAAGTACCTATAAAAAACGCTAAAAGGTCAATTTATGCGTTGGAGGAAGGGTGAGTTCTCGAGTTTTCACATCCCTCAAAACTAATATAGTATTTTCTTTATAAGTAGCGATAAACTCGCATGTATGACACAAAATTTCAGCATTTATGACAATTATCTACGGTGTCGGTAAATCGAAAATGTGCATAGAATTATTAAAAAAATCGTAAGTAGATATCAAATTAAATAAGAAAGACCAAGAGCAAGAGTAGAAGTATTTGGGCAAGACCAAGATTAATGTCAAGACAGGGNAAACGCACTGTTAAGACAGCAGGTAAAGGTTGGTCTGTGTTCTGTCGGAGCTGCCTGCGACGCGCTGATGAGATCCAAAAAGATCGAAATCGCAATCCGCGTCTTGCAGTTTCGACAGAATACAGACCACTTCGAATTATTTTATTAGACCTCTTGCTGAATCAAATTTTCGACGGTACAAAACATATCCTGATGTGAATTTTCTCAATACTTCTAATCTTACCTAATGTTCTTTTTGATAATTGAATTCTATATATAGTTATATATAAGTAAATACATCTATTAGAACATATAATATAATAGATTTTTTGTGAGCACTCTGTAAATGGTTTTCTGTTAAATGACCTATTATTTCTATGGAAGCTGCAAGAAAACTATTTATACAAGAATAATCTAAGAACAATGAAATCCTATTCTGTAATTTTTCTATTATTAAATTATCGTTTTGTTACTATTGTACTTTGTACAGCTTTCCCAATTTTTCTTAGAAATACATAGGATCTCTTTAGTGATTAGGAAAATTGATACTGGTCTTGGAGTTTAAGGTCTTGGCCACGCATTTTCGCAAGTACCTATAAAAAACGCTAAAAGGTCAATTTATGCGTTGGAGGAAGGGTGAGTTCTCGAGTTTTCACATCCCTCAAAACTAATATAGTATTTTCTTTATAAGTAGCGATAAACTCGCATGTATGACACAAAATTTCAGCATTTATGACAATTATCTACGGTGTCGGTAAATCGAAAATGTGCATAGAATTATTAAAAAAATCGTAAGTAGATATCAAATTAAATAAGAAAGACCAAGAGCAAGAGTAGAAGTATTTGGGCAAGACCAAGATTAATGTCAAGACAGGGATAGTCTTGATTTTGGTAGATCTCTCGCTGAATTTTCGACAGTGCGAAAAAACGTATTCTGATGTGAATTTTCTCAAAACTTTTAATCTTACCCAATGCTCTTTTTGATAATTCAGTTCTATATATAGTTATATATAAGTAAATACAAGAATTATATATAAGTATATCTATTAGAACCTATAATAAAATAGATTTTTTGTGAGCACTCTGTAAATGGTTTTCTAAGTGCGCTATCTACCTATAGGCAGTAGATAGGTTCCCGATAAGATTTCGCCCATCGTCGGCGCCAAAAGAACGAGCCAATCAGTCAACCAACGTAGTAACAATAACATTTTCCGATAAAGTGAGCTGGGCGACCCCGCATCTCTCAGCTTTGACTTTGACATTAAACTACTGTTTTGGTTACTTACTGTCGATCCCCTTTTACAACAACATGACGCCACTATTACCGCCAAAAATTCGATTGATAAAATTATATTATGTATTAGGTACTCGCATTACGTACGTGTACATACCTGCCTATTATCATCAGGTAGATACATATACATATACAAATGTAGTTATGCAACAAATACACTTTTTAAGTTTATGATCTGATAAGTGCTTTTATCTATCTTATTATTCTAGGGGCGGGTACGGAGTTTTATCGGGAAATATTTTTTGCGCAGCCGAACATGCAATGGAAATTGACCTCCTCCGTAATCTAGCGAAATGGGGTATTTTTTCCGCGGCTTATCTCCACTGATAATGCAGTTCAAGTTCAGATGCAATTTTTGCAATAAATACTCGGATATAAAAAATAGTTTTTAGTATTCTTTTAGTTTCTCGCGTGGAATAATATTTCTAATGGGTAAGATGCACTTTATTTTTCATTTTCTTATTGACATTTTTTTAATTGAATTGCCTAAATAGTTAACGATTGCAATGCCATGGTCGAATGTTATTTAATCTATTTTGCTATCGGTAGTATCTAACTGCATATTAGTTTAGAATATTATTCGGAGAATTTTGTGGTAAAAAAATCACCCTGATGGTTGATTTATATCAGTAGTAGGTACATATGCACATGTAGTTTCCATCGGTTTGATACAATATCACAAATTTTTGTATACATATTTGTCTTTCTGCACTAGACTATATCATATTAGATNTTAATGTCAAGACAGGGATAGTCTTGATTTTGGTAGATCTCTCGCTGAATTTTCGACAGTGCGAAAAAACGTATTCTGATGTGAATTTTCTCAAAACTTTTAATCTTACCCAATGCTCTTTTTGATAATACAGTTCTATATATAGTTATATATAAGTAAATACAAGAATTATATATAAGTATATCTATTAGAACCTATAATAAAATAGATTTTTTGTGAGCACTCTGTAAATGGTTTTCTAAGTGCGCTATCTACCTATAGGCAGTAGATAGGTTCTCGATAACATTTTTCCGCCCATCGTCGGCGCCAAAAGAATGAGCCAATCAGTCAACCAACGTAGTAACAATAACATTTTCCGATAAAGCGAGCTGGAAAAATTGAGCGTGGCAACCTTGAACTTGCATCGAACGTAGGAGAGACTCCGGCGTCTTCGCGGAGTTTTCTCTCATGCATGCAAGCAGCTCCGCACGTCCGCCCGGTATCCGCGATTTCCTCGCGGCCTCCACCCTCACTAATCGTCCCGCAGACGGCCGGTCTTCCGTGCCCACACACACACACACACACACACACACATGCATGCATATTACGGTGGTGGTTGTTGTTGTTGTTGGTCGATCTAACAACGTAGGAACGAGCGTGTGTGCGCGATGCAGAAAAATATCGCATCGGAGCCTGCTTATGCATTTTCTAAGCCGGCTTAGACCGGGCGAAATAAGTGCTACGGCGCACACGTGCACCACATATTCGCGTCTCTCTCGCTTAGTGCAACGGACACATGACCGTAGATGCGGCCGCCGCTCTCACCTTATGCAATCCTGCGGCCCCCCCACCACCTACCCGGACCCGCCTGCGATGCTAAGTGCAGCTTTCTTACTACTACCAAGATGCACACTAACTCTTTCTAAAACCTAAATCATAGATATGGTCATAAAATGTTGGCTAATTCCTGCCGCATTTCTTTGACGCCGCAGTGCCAGTGGTAAGAGAGTAACTACGACAACGGCTGCGGGTAATAACCGACTGCATCAAGCAAGCGAGGATCCCGACAGAGGTGTCTATGATCCGAATATTATAACGATATTATCGACAATAAGTAACTTTGCACCGATCGAGGGAAAGCAATATATTCATGTTGTTGTTGTCGTCGGTTGATCGTAGGTACATCACACATCTAGTACCTAAACACAGTTGAAGTTCATTCGTTTTATTGTTTGTTTATTGTTGTTGTTGCTGTATTGTTTCGGTGGTGCGAGTGCGGCAGCGGCGGCAACGGCGTCGTTAAGGTTCGAGACTGTGGAAAATGTGCGCGAAAACCATCAAACATGCCGACGCCGACGACGCAGTGCCGATGTTGTGACGAACAGGACGAAATTATGACGGACTGCTGCTATGGTTAGTGCGATTTTCTTTTTGCATCCTTCGATGCGTTTCAAGTGTGTTCACACCTGTCCAGAATCATTATCGCGTAATCTCTTTTCCGCAAAATTTGGAAAAACAAATGAGGCATTGAACGAAAATACTTACTAATACGCTAAACTTGTCGAAGTATTCCTCCGAATCTTTTTAACAATAATAAAAATTTGCCTCTTTAGGAGACGCAAAAAAAGTGAAATTGCAAATATAAATCTTAGTGGCATTGCCTAGCATCATTTATAAGGAAAAAGATCGAGTAGGTACCATTTACGGTACCTTTATACATTTGTTTTCCTATTGAATTTAAAAAAAAATATTTATTATTTAATCGAAATTTTAATTAGGTATATATTTGTTCATAATTTCTGACTTGACCTACCCGATTAAAGAAGCTTGGCTACTTTCACAATACAAATCACTTACTTATCTTTAAAAGAAAGCTAAATATTTGTTTATTTCTTTCTTTGGTGAATTATCTGTCAAAAAAATACGGCAGAAAAAGCGATTTATTACGTAAACCGTTTACTAGAACTCGCGATTTTTGTACACTAGAAATGCGAAAAATAAAAATGGCTCCGCAAACATTAGAAGAACGTTTCAAGTGGCCCGATAAAAATAGAATGTTTGAACGGCCATCTTGATTTTTTACAAAACGGAATTTTTCATGGCGCTTGATCTTTCGAAGTTCTCAAAAAAAAAAATAACCGTTTTCCGATCGGACGCGCGTCAAATTGAAGAAGCTGCCCGGTCAAAAAAAAAAATATATCGTCACTTCGTTCGTATATTAAACTTTCTGATGCGGTAACGATTATTATTATTATTATTATTATAAGTTTGAAAACTTGACACAATTACCTTATGAAT